TGCATCTTGTGTGTAGTGTGTAAGCCAGGCGCACTTTGTGCCAGACTGTAGACGACTTTGTTCTGGTCTAAAGATCAGACTATTTACAGTTTCTCAAAATAGCAACGCGCCAAAACACGCCTGCTTTTTTAGACCAGAACGCCTATGGGCGCACATTTGAGCGCAAATGTATTTGCTATTTAAACAGCGTAGCGCAACACCTCAAAATGACCCTTGCGCCGAGCTAAAAGTAGCAATAGAGTATTGCGCCGCGCCTTGCGCCACATTGTGCCAGGTGTATGATAGGGCCCATTGTCTCACAGTGTGCGCGATCATCCTCTCATTCGGTATTCACCTGCTTTCTTTTGCACGCGTGAACCATTATTTTGCCAGTCGTGCTGCTTCTCAGTGAACTACAATTTAAAAATGATTCTCAATCAGCCAAAGTGGCTAGTGGGAGCAGCTTTCTATCCCGCCACAGCCGAAATCTACCCACATTTGGCGGGTGTTAACGTCAAGCCCTGATTATTGTTATTTATTATTTTTTGTTTGTAATTGTTATATCATTTTGTTTATGGGGGTAGGGTTGGGAATAGAGCTGAAGATCTTTGCCCGAACCTGACGGGACCCGGCGGGACCTGACGGGTTCGGGTTTAATTTCTATCATTTTAAACAGGGTAAGGTTGGGCTTGGCTTGCGCAGGTAAATGAACAATCATGTGATGCATTTTAATTAGTCTAATGTTATAGAGGCTAATGTTGGCATTATTCTTTTATTATTCAACTTCACCATCGCCTTATGCCAGATTGTGAAGAGAAGTGGCGAAACAAATCCAACAGAGCCTTCATCTTAATTTCGTTATTGCCAAATACCCATCATAATTTAGAATTTATTTTATTTAATTTGTTAGGAAAGACTTATTTTCATTGGCGTGTCGGTAAATTTAATGGTTAAGTGTATAAACCTTGGCCTATTTAGAGTGCTGAGATGTTACGATGTTAAGGCTGATTTATACTTCTGCGTCAAATGCTGGCTTATGCTACGGCGCAGACGCATAGCCCTTCGCCGTGGCCGTCGGCGTCACTGACGTGCACCTCTCAAAAAATGTAACTACATGTCGCAACGACGCGTAGCGCAAGCTCTGTGATTGGTCGGCTTGGTAGCGCTGACGAGTCTGGGCGGGACCGAGAGCCGCGTGAGCGGTGCTAGCTCAATGGAGCGATTGTTTACAAGTGTGGAGTCCCGTGAAGGAGCTCCGGATGGAAACTGTTGTTTTGTGTTTACCTCATGGTTAAAGTTGTTGCACGTCCGCCGGTTCCTGCCTCAAAATGAGCGAGTTTGAGCCACTTGTACAACCAGGAAGTGTTCAGGAAAAGCAAAAAGCAGCGAAGAAACTCGACACAGAGGAACATTTACACCTCACTGCCAACTAGTGTTTCAGAAGTGTTAATGCAGACCGACAGAGACAGCGCTCAGAAGTATAAATGCACAGCTACACGCGTGTTACATGCGCCGTGGGTTACGCCGGTCACTTGACGCAGAAGTATAAACCAGGCTTTACAGAGGACTTGTTTTATTTCTTTCTTCTAACTTCCAAGTGGCCTATAGTCTACGTTTGTTACTAATATATTATGTTAAAACATATAAATGACTCGTTCTTGAAAAGAGGCAATAGAGCTGTGTGCATGAGTACATTCCAATAATGTCGGGCTATAAACGGGTTCGGGCTTTATAAAGCTGTCAATCCAAATGTACCTGTCGGGCTTGGGTCAAATTCTGTCGGGTTCGAGCCTAATTGTTTTGGCCTGATTACAGCTCTAGTTGAGATTAATATTTAAAAAAATATTTCTGTAAAATTATCCAGCTATTTCTGTATAAATAAATAAATAAATAAATAAAGTGCAATTTTTTGCAAATTCATCAGATCACAAATTTGGAAGGATTACTCACCGAGTCCTCGGCTAAAGACTTCCTGCAGAGCTCTGGGGGAACAAACAAAAAAATATATATATAAACTGAGGAAAAAAACATTAACAGATCAACTCATTCATGATATTATCAGCCAAGTCAAACTTCCCTTCAGAGATGCAGAAACTCAAAGTGAAACTGCGTAGGCGACTGTAAATCTTGTAAAGGCTGGAGCAAAACTGCTGAGACATTCATAGTTTAACTCAACCACAAAATTGCATCCACCTGGATCAGATTTATCATGCTAATCACTTCCGTCTTTGACAAATATAAAACAAACCAAAGCATTTTAACACCAACAGACTTCATGAAGCAAACCGAAAGCTGTAACGCACTGCTGGAGGTCTTTCCTGACGATAAATAATTTGGCAGTTTTAGGATTGCGCAATCTTTCCCAGCACATCAGCCCACGGGATGCTGTGAGGCTGATTAAAAACATACGATAACCAGAGACGCTCAGTGGCCGCCGGTGGACTTAGAGATCTGGTCTCCACTGAAATGGGTGGATGGATGGATGGATGGACAGATAGATAGATAGATAGATAGATAGATA